TCCATCATGTGAGCCAGTTACCTAGTTGAAACCCCTCCCTCTCTTGAAACAGAAGATGAAGCGGAGGAATCTGCTCTGCACCTGTGAACACTCTTCATTTCACTCTGTGTGTCTTCAGTTTGAGGATTCTGCTGTATCGAGTGGCTGGCCGGATGCGCTGGACTGGGCTGGGCTCCAGCAGATACAGCAGGATGTCTCCAGTGACACCTCACTGAGATGGGCTGTTTGTCTGGTATTGGAGTATACTGGCGCTCATGCGCTGTGACGCCACTGACAGCTTGGCATAAAGAAGATGAATTTCGGGTGCAGAACGGGCTGCTTGGAAGTGTCACGGCAGGGCCGGTGCTGAGGCGTAGAGGGCCAGTAACATCCGTCTTTCACCATCACCAGTTTCCCCCTGCTGCTTTATCGTATTTCCCCTTTGATGACATGACGGATATGACTCAGTCACCCTCACAGTGAGGACAGCATGTAACAGGACAGGGAGCAAGTGAAATGGACAGAGGGATATGGGGAGGTAGAGGCGGAGATGCATAGAGAGAAGGAGATCGAGTGGGAGGTTGAAGAGAAGTGGAGAGAGTTGGGAGAAGTGGGAGGCAGAGGGAGGGTATACTTCAGATTGGACAACATGGATCTAATGCATAATTCATTCACTCTGAAAATTCTTTGAGGTTTTCTTTTTTTTTTTTGGACAATTTTATATTCACTCAGTCCACTGGGTTTCAGCACTTTCTGCCCGAAATACCTCTGCCTTTTCCACATTATAATATTACTGCATTCCTGGCCCGGACCTTGGTTTTTTCTGTTTGATGTTTTATGGCGCTTTGGTGACCAAAACTTTTTGCCTTGGTCTGGGGTTGCCATTGGTTACCTCTGATCAGCATGCATCTGTTGGTAGAATAATTAATATCTCTTTGGGGAGCCTTTCCTTCAGTGCTCTTCCTGTGACTGGTGTGTGTATTGATTTGGTTGGTGGGAGAATTTCTCCTGGGAGCTAATAAAAATAATTACAAAAAGATCATCAAAGGCCTGGCCTTCTGTTGCACACATGAATAAATATGCGACAAAGATAACAGAAAAGACCAGTTCTAGGTGTGTGGTCAGTGGTAATGCAGGAGAATGAGTTGTAGTTAAGCAGCTTTTTATCTCGGATTTAAAGGACAAATGTTACCCATCTTATCTTGTTTAACCTATATGTTTTGCAGTTATATTTCAATGCTAACGTCACATATTGGTTGAAACACTATAGCGGGAGAAAAGCGGGTGCTCAAATACTGCACATTTCTTGGATAACAGCACAGCGAAATTGCATCCATTTCAGTGAAGCTGACATAAGTAGACGGGAAGAAAAAAGGCAGAAAAGAATCAGCTTCTGGTTCAGTAATCCCTCTCTGATTTCATTCCCTGTCTGTGTGCTTGTTTGTTTGTTCTGTGGTTCCTACTTTTTTCCAAAAGTGGATGACTGCACAGCAGTGGTGAAAAGTAATGGCGGTATTATTGCAGACAGGGGGAAACACAGCATTTTGATTGGAGCGTGTGCCCTGAGACCCAGTGAAGTGCACTCGCCTCAGCTCAGAGAGCACTTGATTGCACAGCACCAATGATCACATTAAAAGGGCAACAGAAAGCCCATTTACCGTAAAGAGAGTGGGAAAAGGGGCCCAATAGGAAGCTGAAAATTGACTTTCGCTCCTGTGAGGAGTTAGGTCTGATGGCTCAACAGTGGGAATGTATATAAAGTTTTTTAATTTGATATTTTTGGACAGTGCACATTCAGGGACATTCATGGAAGCCACATGAGGGCTGTAGTAGATACACTCGCTTAAGCTTGTGCAAATATTTTCTTTGCACTTTTCAAAGTGAAACTGCTCACAAGGTTTATGTGTTGAAGTTTTCCAGTATTGAGATTAATGGGTCATTTTCAAACCATATTCCACAGCATATGGATGTGCTTTTAACCTCTACACCTGACTCAGGAAGGACACTGACCAGTCACGTCTGGCCTTCTGTGCACCCAGCTTAGCTTTTTTTGGCAGTGAAAGGACAATTGTAGAGGCATCTGCTGTGTTCATTTCCACAGGAAAGAGGAGACCAGATGGAGACTCAAGGTTTAAGTGATTAGAAAGCAGTAGATTGGAATACAAATTGGATTCAAAGAAATTAGACTGATAGAAATCGAATAGAGTCACTGCAGTTTAGTCATGTCCATTGGCCTTAGCGGAAAGCCACTGCACGATTTGTGGATTATTGGGGAAGCAGATGCTCCAATGAGATAAGAATAAATGTGCGTTTGACACTGGATCTGAGGGAGAAGGGGGCCTACATGTCTGTCCTTTATCTTGCCCTCCATTTATCAATGTCACAGTGTTAATTACTGCTTAATCTATTAAGTCACTTATTGCCAGAATACAAACTTGCTCTTTGCCCTCACTGTGACAGGAAAATTGGCTGCTGGCTAGGTTATTGTTCCCTACTTTTGGTGAAAAAGATAGCAAGAAAAATACCTTAGATTTTTGTTCCAAACACCAGCTATACTTCTTCAGTTTTCCACATAATACCAATGAGATTAGATCATGGACTCTGGGGACAGAATATTACCTACCCCTCTACTACAGATCGCTGTCTGTGGCACCAGTTAGTGCAAGACACCAGGCCTGATCACTAATCAATGACAGGGAAATAGAGGGAATTAGCCCAAATTAGGAAGAAGAGAGAACAGACTGCCTCCTGTTCAGGGGTCAATATGTCCCTATCTGATCCCTGATTCCTGACATTTTGTGGACTAGTGCACATTTCCAGACTAAATCTGTGTGTTTTGTGTGTGTTTGTGTGCACATATGCACACAAATCCACCACACTTGGTCTTTGAAGTGGATTTTATGCTGACCAGCAGGTTTCTGCTGGCTCGTGTCCCTTTGCCTGTAGACTCATGAGGAGAAAAGACCTTGGTACAGCCTGTCCTGGTTTCCCCTGGGAGGTTGAAGTGTAACGGGTGGTGGGATGTGCAAAACCCAGCCAAACAAAGAGCTGAAACCACCGCTGTTATACTTGCATCCTGTGTTCAAATGACCCCTTACATAAGCACAAAGGCCTATGTGGTATACTGCACTTCTGTGCAGCAGGCATCATTCTATTACCCCACTGTACTGCCCCCAGGGAAGGGCACAATCATCAACTCTGCTCAATCACATGCACACCTGCAACAGCTCATTTTAAGACAAAGAGCTGAGCTCGTAACTTAAGGCAACACTGAGTGGTTAACATTTAGCTGTCAACTGAAGCAGAGTTATTGATGAGGTATTGAATGGTTCAAAAGAAAAAAGGGTTGTTGGAAAACTGTGCCTCATTCCCCATTCCCTTTGCTGTGTCTTTGATTGCTGGATCAGACTGTTTGATTGTTGCATGGTTCCCATGGCTTCCTTGATATAAGAGTGTGTGCGTGCGTTTGTGTGGCCTACAGCCTCTTATCACCATGGGTAAGACCTGGTCACAGACACACTGCGCACTCTGACTCGGGGAGCATTATCTTAACTGCCAGGCTCCAAAAGCTTACCCACTGTAAGCTCTAATGAAAAGGAGTGGGCCAAGGTTTTCAACCACAGGGGATTAGCATTTGACATTAGTCTGGACCCCAACATTCATATTCACATCACATGCCTGCTTTTTGCATAGTGAACTCCCACTTTTCCTGACTTTTTCTGAAAACCAAATATAGAGGGCAGATAAACAGCATAATGTGGGTCTATGTGTGTAATTCTAATGTAAGCTAACTGTATGCCTTCATTCACTGTTTGCCTGTAAGTTCCATTACTCTCAAGCTCTTGCATGGGCTGAGAAGAGCAGATAGAAATTTTTTTGACTAACCTGTTATGGTTATTAAAAGCTTTAATAGGCTTTTCTTACAAGCTTCCATCCCAAGTCAGATATATAAAGGCACTTACCTCTGCTATTTGGGTCCAGGCAGCAAGAAAAATAGCAAAAACAACTGCTTTTGTCACCTGGTTTTTGAACAATGTGAATCAAAATTGGGGGGGTTTAAATGTGGATACATGTAGCCAGATTAGCTGTTTTGGGTGGGTTTTTTGTATATACCTATTGCTGTTGAGTTGAATTGTAGCTTGATGGTTTTAGATGTCGCTTAGTGAGTAGTAACTGCATTTGTAAATTATGTATAGGCTGCCAAATCAACTCAGCAGAACACAGGGGATCGCAGTGGATATTGGATCATTACACAGAAAGTAGAAGTTCTGTTGTCCTTCTTTTCCAGTATATATTAACTTGAGTTTACTTTTTATTTGAAAAAGTGGATTACCAGAGTTTCTTTTCCTAGTTGTTACTATTTGTTTCTTTTTTATGGGATACTCAACATTGAATTATATATGTCCATCAATTTTCTTAATCGCTTTTCCAATCCAAGGTCACATGGGCACTGGAGCTTATCCCAGCTGTCAGGAGCAAGAGGCAGAATGCATTCTTGACAGGTCGCCAGTCAACATAAATGGCCAGAGCATGGAAGCAGACAATCATTCACGAGACATTCACACTTACAGACAAAATCCCCAGTTAACCTATTATGCATTTCTTTTGACTGTGGGAGGTAAAAGGCAGTAGGTACCCAGTGGGCACTGGGTAAAAACCCCACACATAAAGGCCACAGCTGACCAGTGGGTTCACCCTGGACCCCTTTGCTGAGAAACAACACTGTTTATATGTGCTTTCACTGTGCCACCTGTTTATATGTTTTTCTTCTTTAAGAGTAAAAGTTGTCAATTGATACCTTGGAGACCGCTTCAGAGCCACACCTCATAGCTTTTGCTCTGGGCAGAGGTCGGTCTTCCCGACCCAGACAACTTATTTATTGTGTTGCTATGAGTTGTGTTTATTAATTAAAACCCCATATTCCCACTATTTTTCTATTGTTTGTTATGAAAGAGGTTCTTAACTTTATAAAGCTTATATAATAACATCACTGAACATAAAACATCCTTTTTTTTCCTCAGGATCCCGTCTGCGCCAGGAGGACTCCCCACCCCGGATTGTGGAGCATCCCTCTGACCTGATCGTATCCAAAGGGGAGCCCGCCACTCTCAACTGTAAAGCAGAGGGGCGGCCAACCCCGACAGTGGAGTGGTACAAGGATGGAGAGCGGGTGGAAACAGACAAAGATGACCCACGTTCCCACCGTATGCTGCTTCCCACCGGCTCGCTTTTCTTCCTTCGCATCGTTCATGGACGGCGGAGCAAACCAGATGAGGGAGCCTATGTCTGCGTGGCCCGGAACTACCTGGGAGAAGCTGTGAGCCGCAATGCATCTTTGGAAGTAGCATGTAAGTCAAGAGTCTCTTCTCCTCTTTGCTGGAGTTCAAAATGATTCTGCTCACATTATGTAATTTATAAGGACAGATAAAGAGAAATCCTGATCTCACTGCTTACTGATGGAAAGACTGGATTTGCATTCAGCACATTCAGAATACATTTTTGATCTAATCAAGCGTTGAAACATCGTCTCTACTGTAGGTACTTAAAGTAAACAAGTCAACAATTTCTGGCACTATTTTTAGTTAATTTCATTTTTCTTCTCCATTTACAAACAATACTAATTTCCTGCTGGTCTAAAAGAGCCACTTAAACCCTATTACGACCTCACATTGTGGAATATTGGTCGGAGTTTTGGATAATGAGTTTTTTCTTCCATGCACTTGATAAATGTGATCCAAGCCCAAGGGATATATATTGATGTTGTGTGTATGGGTTGGAGTATGTACGTAAAGCTGCTGGGAGGCTTTATGATGGGAACATGATGGCATGGCTGACATGGCTCTCTCGCAGGTGAGTGGGGGTCGAATGACAAGCACAGTTTGTGATGGACATGTAGCACAGGCCTTCTGAAGTCTGTTGGTGAATGGTGACAGGCATAACCTGAGCTGTGTATCGAATTACCTTTGAAGATGAGCCTACCCCCCAGCAGTCTCAGGATGGGCTTCCTATACAGCCACTCCCAGGCACCTCAAAATGCCCATAAGGTGGAGGGGAAAGTCCCTATGTCCTTATGTTGTGGAAGAGGAGAATTCTTATCATGAAAGTGACAAACTTTAGACAGTCTCTCAAAATGTTGAGCTGGACTCCTTAGACAACATAAAACAAGCAAAAATTGGAAATCAAATGTTTTAGATTTATAGACAAAAGAGAGCAGGAACAACATCCTCTGCCTGTAATTGTATTTCTGAGGTGATGACAGTAAAATTCATAGTTAGTTTTTGATCCTTAGGAAATGGGTTGGAGGGGGTTGGTCTCTGCTTCTGATCCACTGCCCTGCCTTCCCGAGGGCCTTCCAGTGGCCCCCAGGTGCTAACTGTGTGACAGCAGCTTGATCTATCGATTGCTGTAAGAGGCCTCTCCCACTCTAAATGAAAATTCATGAAAAATTGATGAACCCTCTCGATTATTTTATTTTTTTCCTTCTAACACGGTTTCTTAGCCTTTCTTCTTCAGTATTCTCTCTCTCTCTCTCTTTCTCATGGTCTCGCTCTCTCTCTTTCTCATGTAATATGGACTGAGGAGCAGAGGGGGTTGAATAGAGGCATTGACTACTTGAATGGCTTAAAGGTGAAGGGTGAGGGGTCACTAGGGCAGGAGGGAAGAGCAGAGCTAGGTGAAGAAATATGTATAGCGCACATCTGATGGGTATTAACAGTGATGCCAGGTTTGAGAGTAGGGTTCAGCATACAAGCAACAAACAAGTGTACAGAACTGGACATGTTTGTGTAGCTCCATACACTATACAAGGTATAACAAAAGAATGGTGTAAAGTAATCTATACAATACACCATCATAAGACAACACTGCTGGCTAAAAAAACAAATACACTGAATTTTTCACTCAGTACTTTGAGGTCTTTACTTTTTAAATTACAGTGAAGACTTCTAATTGGAGTTTGGTTTATTTTAGCTCTGCTGTAAAAACCTTAACAAGGACCAATTATGAAAACGTGAAATAAGCTGAACACTTGAGTATTCATTATAATGACAGCATACTGGCCGGAGCCTGTATGAGGCATAGCAGTTTGAGAATGATGGCAATGGTGGCCTGACAAAGATGGAGTGTGGGTGCAGGAAAAGGCTCTGTTTGACAGTCATTCACTGTGCTACTTGATTACAGTGTGATGGTGCACAAATGTGACTTTCTGTTAAAGTAGGGTAATTTTGATTTAAATTATTTTAATAGTAGGAGATCAAAGCCCTCAGAGGCATGTTGAAGAAAATGGAAAAGGTGAGGAGAAGGAAAAAGATGTTTAAATATTCAGGTAATGTGTTATATGGAGACATTAATTATTTGTTTCAATTTTAATAATACTGTAGGTAATCCTGAGCATCTTGAGGAAGAATTTCCTGAAGCTGATTGGCAGCATTTCTTTCTGAGCTAATCAAGTATCTGGCTTAAGGTACCAAAATGGTCCGAAACAGTGCAGAGCTCCAGAGTCTTTTGCTATTGTACTTTTGTCATTTGTCTTTTAAATATAGACTATTTTTGGTCTTTTAAATGTGATTAGATGACCAAATAATTATGTTCCTTTCCAGTAAACTTTAGGTATTTGTTGACATCTACAAAGTGATGATTAGAAATTTAACCTCCATGATAAAAAAAAAAGGGCCCATTTTGCAGCGTATTTCCTCTGTGTGTTTCATTTTTACTGAGATAAGGGTATCATAGAGCCTGAAGAAGACGGAGGGGCACTTTGCGGCACGCTCCATGCCTGGTCTGTTTTGGGCCCTGGGCTTTCTCAGTTTTCTTTCACAGCCAGGTCTTCAGGGGACTGCGGGGGCAGAAGGGGGGGCGATGTGCTAAATCCCTCTGCATTCGCTTTACAGCAGTGATTAGCTTTATCAGGTCCTGACATCCGTCCAGTGATTGTAAAGCCAAAGCTAATCTCACAAGAAAAAGTCTTAAATCTATATCCATGTTGAACTGGATTTGTGTTTATGATATGTCTTGTAACCCCCCCAATCCTCCCCCATCCCCTGCCTCGATCTCCCCCTCCATTGTATTGAACGCACCTTTGCCCCCCTTCCATTCACGAGTGGTTGAACAGGACCCTGGTGAGATAATTGAATTGCAGTTCTGAAACAGATTGAACTCTGTGTCCACTGAACAGAGTGGCGCTGCTGCATGCCAGGCATCAAGCTGGGCCGGACTCACCACTCTCTCTTTTAGAGGAGGAAATGTGGAGTGAAGAGGCAAAGGGGGAAGAGCCCTCCAAGAGGTGCCAATGCATTATTAATGTGGGCCCGAGTGGGCAGGGGCACTTGTGCCTTTACTGGGCTTAGGTCTGCAACCTTGTCTCCTTTAAGTGTTGGATGTTGAGCACAAATAGATGGACAAGAACATGGACTGCTTTGTGTTATCTAGCTCCATGGTGCATGTGCAGAGTGTGGGGATAATGCCCAGACATCACTCTGCTGCATTTGGGAGAGATTTCATTATAGCTGTTGTTCACTGTCCTGTACTTCAGAAGATAAGAGAACTTGTAAATGTGTTGCCTAGAGGGTATCGGAGCAGCCTGCCTTGTAATCTTACTCCTCTTCAAAACTGACTCCAGGCCAGCAATATGGGATATACTGCATATAAGAGAATGTGCCCCTTTTCTCTTTTCAGGATAAACTAGGTCAATGAGCAGGTTCATAAATCATTGTGAAGCCTGTGTCAGAAATGCAAGCTGCAGCCATCGCTGCTGCATAAATTGCTAGCACTGCGAGTATCTGTGTATATGTAAGTGTGACAAGGCACACCTGGGGCAATAGGATTCCAAGGAAAACGTTAACTAGCCCAATCTTTTCAGGTGCTTGACGCAAACTACATCCACCTGAAACTAGCACATATCACTTTTAATTGAGTGCCAACTGTGATATAGGCCCTCTGACATGTCTACTTGTGTATTAACTGTATGTAATCGTCAGGGGAAAGGCACCACATATAAATGAAGACAAAAAAAATGAGTTTTAGATGTATACCTTTGCAGCTTTGTTCGGTTTTAACCTTTAAAAATGCAAATGACACTGAAATGAAACAGATGTCTTGGGTTGGTTCTAAATGCCGCTTGGAATGGGATTGGATGACTTTTAAAAAGGTCCTTTGATATCATCTAATGTACCACTTCTGCAATTAAGTGAATCGTTAGGTAGCAGTTGGTACTCGTACAACAAGGTAATTAGCAGGAAAATTGAGTTGGGAAAGGTGCGAGTGTTGAAGAGAGGAGGAGGGTTACCAAGCTGTTGCTGTTGTGTCCAGCATGAGGGGGGGAGCTAATAAAGGGATGGGCCAAAAGGAGCAAGCCAGGTGGGGAGTCAGGATGAGCTGCACTGCTGAGCTCATCTGGACTCATTATTCCAGTTCAGAAATGAGAAAACGGGGTGACAAGTGCACACAAACAACAGACACTCACGCACTTACACACGCGTGTTCACAAACACCTGCCCTCGTGCTTGTATAAACCCCGGTAGACTGAGGTTTAATCTGTGCGGGAATCCTTGAGAAATAATGAAGGGTAATGAAGAAAACAGCAACAGCGCAACCATTACAGCGCATTAATGATGCATGATATAGTTAGGAAATACAACACAGTCTCAGAAACTCTCATTTGTAAGTGTAATATCTAAGTGTTTTATTCATACCACACATCTTGACGTGTCTGTTTCTTTATGTTCTTAGATGTGTAAAACACAAATTTCCGGGTCCATCTAAAACAGTTGGTCTGGTTTTTCAATAACTTGCTCAATAAATAAAAGATCAGTTGCTCACACAGATAAAATAAACATAAATCTGCTGCTCACACCACACCAAAGTATTTTCTAGTTTATTACATTTTCATATAAAAAAAGTAAAAAATAATTTAAAAAACCTTCCTGCTGGAGCTCACTGTTGTCTGAGCTGAAACAAGCAGCGATGTGATGGAGGAAAAGCAAAAAGCATACATGCAGAAAAAGTGGGAATGTTGTCCTGTGATAAGAGGGATGGGGAGAGAGGGCAAGCGTGTGAAACATATCTTCTCCTGATAGTGTTAGAGAGGAAAAAATCCCTGATTAAATGTGTCAGCTGGAGTTTGCTGACCTCTGTAGAGATCTTCCTGTCTATTCATATGCACACACACACACACACACACACATATTCAAATGCACGGCTATAGTGTTTTCCAGCCATATACAGCGTCACGCAGCTTGATTGTATCACCTTTATCAGTCACAGATGGTCACAGTAAATGAGGAGCTCCTACAGATGCCTAACTCCTGTGCTAACTCCTGTGCCATGCTTGGAAAGAGGCCGGGCTGCAGAA